GGGTCCTACTTGCGCGTCCCTAGTTGGACTTCTAGGGTTTTATTGTGTATGTATTAGGCATATGACTGTATCCATATACCTAACTTAAATACCTGTATATCTATAATTACATGTTCCTACAGTGGGAAGCCCGGCCAGCCGAGGCGGGCGCGCGCTAGCGTTTACAATTAATCACGGGTCTACATTGACCACAGGTCAAGGTGCTTCAAGAACAGATGCAAGAAAGGGGCTGGCCGCTTCTCATCGCGTACCACAAACTTTAAGTCGAAGCTGCTCTTACCTCATCCATCGCGGTTTAGGCTTTAGGGTCCTAAACCCTAAAAACTCAACCCTGAACCCTATTGGGGACTTGTTTGACAAGCCGTTCTGGAGAATGGAGCAGTTTCAGAACACCAGCCTTCATCGCATAGAAAAAAAGCCCAGCATACCAAAGCCAGAGTAGAGTGTATTAAGTGATCATGATAGCCGAAATGGAGATTTCCAGAAACAGGGGGGCCCCAATATAGACCCAAAAATACGATAATCCTCCAAAAAATATCCAGAATTTTGGGACCTATATGGGGTTTGCAGAGCTTACGAAGCCGACCACAAGGTAACTCTGAGTTTGCCAGTAGGGTTTAGGGTTTAGAGGCCAGTTTATACTGCAAACTAGAGGAGATGAGTTCCGTTATCACCAATCCCCCCAGGGTTTAAGGTAAAAAGTTCTTCGAAAAAAGCACCAAACCAGGAACACCCTACAGGATTCCGGCATCTCCCAAAACACTAAACAGCGGTCAAGCCCCCTACTGTAAACCAGACCGCCAACTGCAGGGGCCTAAATTAGAATGGGGTTCTGCCATGTATTTGTCTATCTCTATCTAAGCGCATAAAGCAATAAAATTTCCCTGCTAGCTTCTGTAGTAAACTCCACACCCAGCGCAATATGAGAACCATCTGCCCTTAAAACCCTCGAAGCTAAGCTCTCCTACTTGAAGGTTCTTTAAACCCTGATCCCTCAATCCTAAGCCTGGAACCCTAAACCCTACACTCTGAATCCTAAACCTTAAATCCTAAACCCGAAACCCTAAATCATAAACCCTAAATCCTAAGCCCGAGACCCTACGTCCTGAATCCTAAAAGCGAAGTCCTAAACCCTGTTCATAGAGTGAGCGGATTTCAGGTCGGCCAAATATGGCTATAACCTTGCTTAAGCGACTTGTAACTGCACATATAACTACTGTAAATCCTATAGATGTCTCTCTGACACAAAGGTTTAGGGTTTTAGGGTTTAAAGTTTATGCATAACCCGTATAGCCCCACTTGTACCCATCTAATAACAATGGGATTTTAGTTATCTCAACCCTGAAATTCGGACCCTGTTGTAACCATATGATAGTGAAAGGCTTTACAGGCTACGTATTATAATGCTCAGAATAATTAAGTTTCCCTTATGAATCTAAGACTTGCCAGGCAGCGCATGGGAGTATCCCGAAATTCCACACCTGAACAAAGCTTGGAGGCTCTCTTGACTTCTTTATAGGGAGTACCGAACAAGATCCTTTTAAACGAGTTGCCGGGGTGCATAGGGCAGAGTGTAGGGTAGTAAGCCTGCTACTAGGGGTTGGGTCTATGTAGTAGTAATATGGTATTATTGGGGATAATAAGTAGGCTTGCGAATATATACTACCCTATAATCCCAGTTTTTCATTTCATTTTCCATGTTCTTTTCCATTTGATTATCCATTATAGGGATATAACCTCTATATATATTAACCCCAGTATATACCCATAAGTAGGCTTGCGAAGTTGCGGGATCCTCTAAGTGTTTTTTCTGGCTTCTGGTTTGTGGCATAGGGGACTTGGAGTGTCGGGGTGAGGGGTTTTAAGGGTCTTTTTCAAGAAGAAAATACTGTCAACTGTATAGGACAGGCATCATGAAGGAAAGTTGAAAATTTTTGCAGGAACACGCTGCAGCACCCCAAACATTCTGATCATGCAGGAGTCGTGAGCCCTTCAACACGTCTCTATGTGCAAGCCCCCACGCACTCAACATCAAAAAAAATCAGAAATGCGATGTCCAACTCCCGGCTTAAGATTGGCCTGAAAGACGGGATTTCAAACTTAGCACTGAACTGCGGACCCTATGCGCTTCAAGCTCGCACTCAACTTTATGTTCTAGGCCCGTAACCACTAGACCCTAGAGAGTGGATCCAGGGCCCTTCAGGCAATACCCCCTTATCCCGGATCTCTAGACCCTAAACCCGAATCCCCAAACTCTAAAATCAAGGGGGGCTAAGGGCTGTAAGAGGATATAAATCCTTATTTGGGCCTTCTTTTGCCCTCACTTAAATTCTCTTGCACCCCCGTAACTCCCCATGATAAAACCCCCTTAACCCTAAATCCTACACTCTAAACCCAAGTCCAAGCCTAGAATGTCGGCCCATAGCTTCCACATAATGGGCTTCTTCACCTGAAAAGCAAAGGGGCTTGCGGACTTTGGGTTTGAGGTGGGTTTAGGGCTTAGGATTCCGGCTGTCAATGGTTTGGGGTTTGGGTGGGTTTGGTGTGGGATGTTTTGCAAGCTTTGAAGGTTTCAAGTTTTGTTTTTGGAGTTAGGGTTTAGGGTTGCGGGCTTCTTCATCCGTTCGTTGACCCCATTTTTTCAAACGCAAGGTCCCCAATCCTAAAAACTCTAAACCCTGATGACTTCAAAGAGGTCGGCGCATGAAACGTGTTTTATTGGCACAAAATACAAAGGCTTGCTCAAGGTCTCTTAGTAACTCCCCTCCTGTGCTTGCCGTAGAAGAAATTTCAATTTAAGGCTTACCCTGACCGTTTGTGTTTGCAGCGCCCGGCTGGGGAGACCCCACGACCGAGCAAGTGCCAAAGGGCCCCGAAAGGAGACCCAACCCCCCTCCGAAGCTTGCCTCGACAGAGCCATAGCCCAAAAACCCTGAACTCTGCAGATTGCTGTAGTCGCCTGAAGGGAGTGCATGTGTAACCTTGGCACGAGAGCCGGGCGGACGCAGTGCGGGGCATCGAGCACCGCAAGTGCGGTGCGGCGCCCGGCTGGAGGCCCCACGAGGGCTGAAGGGCCACAGAACAGCCCCCCTACCGAAGCAACTTTGGGAGACTCAACCTACTCCGAAACATCCACCCAAAAAAAAAGTAGGAAAAAAGGCAGCTTGAATCCTAATCCGAATACAAACCCAAGTACTAAGACCCTGAACTCCGCGGATGGATGATGGCGGGTCAGACGTGGCCGTAGAGTAGGGCAGGCCAACACTCCCTAACTAGGAGACGTCGGGGGTACAGGGTGAGGAACAGGCGCGGTCCTCTGAAAAAGAACAAACAGGAAGCCAGCAGGTACGGCGACGGGCCCACGGCCGCAGCAGAAGGCCAGCAGGGCGAAGACCGCATCAAATGCATAAAATGACTTAGTACACCATTCAAAATGGCAGCAAAATCAACTTCAAAACTTTTCGCGCCCACCTCTTGGTCTGTGCCTCTCTTCTGCCCCAACAGCCCGTCATCACCTTCTGGATCTTCAATGCTGCACAGATCTCAGCCGAAGTGGCCGGGCTTGCGAGGCTCTCCAAGTCCTCCTCCTGCGAGAGTGTTGAAATCCCACGGACTGTGGCAGCGACCGGCACGTAAGACGCCATGCCGCTAAGATAGTCGTCCATCAGCGAGTCCTGACTCACGGTTGGGTCTATGGCGTGTTGAGGCATGGCCTGCAAAGCCAAGTGACTCTAAACAATAAGCTCCGACACCTTGGGTAGACCCCCCACCGTGTAATAGTGGTATAGTAAGGTTCAGGGTTTAGGGTATAAGAGGCCTTCAATATAATCACCACTATCCCTTGTAGTCACTATTAGCGGGTGGGGGGGTTCCACGGCGTTTACTGTGCCCTTTGGCAACCTCAAAAAAAAGGTATCCCTCCTCTGTGGAAATCCCTACACCCTACACCCTAAACCCTAAATCCCTAAACCCAAAACCCCTGAACCCCTAAACCCAAAACCTTACATCTGCAAAAGGTCTGAGATGCTGGCGAAACAAAACTGTTTCTGGAAGAAGTACAAATGGCCACGATCCGTCTGGCACAGGGGACCCTAAGTTTAGGGTTTAGGGTGTAGGGTTACTGGGTGTAGGGTTACTGGGGCTTAGGGTTGACCCTAAATAGTGTACCCCAAGACCCTAAACCCGAAACCATGCAACCCTAGACCGTTTAGGGTTAGGGTTTAGGGCTAGGGTTTGGGGTTTAGGGTTCCTAAACCCTGTAACTCAGGATCTGAGCTTTAACAGCGATGCCCTCAAAGCACAACAAGGAGCCTCAATGATTACCGAGGTTGGATACTGTTCAGGGTTTAGGATTTAGGCTGATGAGGGTTTAGGGCTTTTTTTACGGCTGCCATGCGCTTC